GTCACTGGGCAGCTCGCGGCTGTGCTTCCCTTTGTAGTCGGTAATAGTTTTCAAGTCCTGCCACATCCGACGAGCGTCAGAGCCGGTGTAGAACAATTCAATCTTAGTCCTGTATTGACTCTTTGCCTGTTTAATGGTTCGTCGGAGGGCATAGCAGGATTTCTTATAAGTGTCCGGGTTAGAGTCCCGCTCCTTGAAAGCGGCAGCTCTACTCTTTAGCTCAGTGCGGATGTTGCCTGTAATCCATGGCTTCTAGTTGGGGTATGTACGTACAGCCAATGTTGGGACGAAGTCATCGATGCACTTATTGATGAAGCCAGTGACTGATGTTGTGTACTCCTCAATGCTATCGGAAGAATCCCGGAACATATTACAGTCTGTGCTAGCAAAACAGTCCTGTTGCTTAGCATCTGCATCATCCGACCACTTTTTTATTAACTGAGTCACTGGTGCTTCCTGCTTTAGTTTTTACGTATGAGCAGGAATCAGGAGGATAGAGTTATGGTCAGATTTGCTAAATACATTTACATTTACGTCATTTAGCAGACGCTCTTATCCAGAACGACTTACAAATTGGTACATTCACCCTATAGCCAGTGGGATAACCACTTTACAATTATTATTTTTAATTTTTGTATTAATTTTTTTTTTGGGGGGGGGGGGGGGGGTAGAAGGATTACTTTATCCTATCCCAGGTATTCCTTAAAGAGGTGGGGTTTCAAATGTCTCCGGAAGGTGGTGAGTGACTCCTCTGTCCTGGCGTCGTGAGGGAGCTTGTTCCACCATTGGGGTGCCAGAGCAGCGAACAGTTTTGACTGGGCTGAGCGGGAACTATGCTTCCGCAGAGGAAGGGGAGCCAGCAGGCCAGAGGTGGATGAACGCAATGCCCTCGTTTGGGTGTAGGGACTGATCAGAGCCTGAAGGTACGGAGGTGCCGTTCCCCTCACAGCTCCATAGGCAAGCACCATGGACTTGTAACAGATGCGAGCTTCAACTGGAAGCCAGTGGAGTGTGCGGAGGAGCGGGGTGACGTGAATGGAGGGCGAGGGAGAGCTTTGTATGCATCTCTGTGTGTGGAGTAAAGGTGGTCTAGAGTTTTTTTTCCTCTGGTTGCACATTTAACATGTGGTCCTCTGTAGCTCAATTGGTAGAGCATGGCGCTTGTTACGCAAGGATAGTGGGTTTGATCCCCGGGACCTCCCATACGTAAAAATTTATGCACACATGACTGTAAGTCGCTTTGGATAAAAGCGTCTGCTAAATGGCATATTATATTATATTATAAATTAGGTAGAACGGATTTAAGTTTCCCTGCATTAAAGTCCCTGGCCACTAGGAGCGCTGCCTCTGGATGAGCGTTTTCCTGTTTACTTATGGCCTTATACAGCTCATTGAGTGCAATCTTAATGTCAGCATCGGTTTGTGGTGGTAGATAGACAGCTACGAAAAATATAGATGAAAACATGCAACACGTCAGGATCCTGTTGGCAAGTTACATTTACTGATGTCTCTAATCAAACTACCATAGTTTCTTCAACGTTACTCCCTTCTTCCACTCTTCTGAACGCCTCCAGATAGTTATATTATTATTATATTATAGATAGGAGACATGCTGGACAGCCCTTATACTTGCCACCTCCGTCTCCTTCACCCTAACAGGGCACTTCATGAATTCTGGAGCATGCTCACCACCAATATTGAAGCATTTCGGCCTCAACTGGCATACAATACTCCTCCCGTCTACATACACTTGACACATGTCCAAATAGTTTACATTTATCACACTGCAAGGATATCTCATATAACCCAAATACACGTACGAGGGAGAGACTCTTCTTCAAATAACAAAATAATGGATGGAGTGGGCTTCCTCACTCCATCCACCATACGGGTCAGTCAGCGTGCACCAATCACTCCATCCACCATACGGGTCAGTCAGCGGGCACCAACCACTCCATCCACCATACAGGTCAGTCAGCGTGCACCAACCACTCCATCCACCATACGGGTCAGTCAGCGTTCACCAACCACTCCATCCACCATACGGGTCAGTCAGCGTTCACCAACCACTCCATCCACCATACGGGTCAGTCAGCGTTCACCAACCACTCCATCCACCATAAGAGTCAGTCAGTGTGCACCAACCACTGCCTCTATTTCTTCAGTTAGATCCTCTGCACTTCTAGCGCCACTCCAGAGATAACCCCCTTGATAGGCGCCCTGCTTCGCAAATCCACACACACGACACATTCCAACCCTATATCTTTTTCAGGTGCAAAGCACGCTCCTTCTGCTCCTTGGACACACAAAAAAACAAAATAAACCCATTTCTTGATATTTTCACTGACGCCACCTCATCTAACGCAGCTATGATTTTCATCGAGACTTCAAACGGATCTCCCAGGTATCTCGATCGATCCAAAAACCTTACTCCTACTAAAGAACAGTCAGAACTAGGCCTGGATTTACTCCAGGACCACTTCACTTCTGTATTCTCCTTCTCACGCTCGTCTCCACACGACGTCATCAGTTTCAACCAAAACATCCGCCTCCGCCATCTTCTAGCTTTCGAAACGCCCCACCCATCCGAGTACATGTCGTGTACTCTCCGCCATTTTCTCCCGTCATAGTTCACTCTTGGTCAGTTCCTGTCTACTTAATAATCCCGCCTCCTGAATCCAAGTGTTTGACATGGGGGAAGGGACCGGAAACCTTAGGATCAAACTTAATCAATGCAGAAGCATCAGTCATTTCTCATACTTTGGTTATCATACTTTGATCTGGTTTCATCCAAATATCATCCAATTTCATGAAAAACAAGATTTTGACAGTACTTGACCTTTAAGGAGGTGTGTCTCCCATAGACACCAATGTGATAGCAGCTGGGTCTGGTCTACTTTGTTCATTGACTTCCATTGAAACAGAAAAAATGAGGGAGTGGGACATTTCGCTTCCTCTCCCGTCTCTGTAAACACTTCCGGTCACATGTGTCATGTGACCAGTGAGTGACCTATAACCCTGTGTGACCCCATGCCCCTATAGTGTACAAAACCTACGAAACCTTATCTAGATAGACATCCTATACAGAACACATTAAATGAACACATAAGTAGATGGCTCCTACAGTGTTTTATAGGCTCTACCTGCCTTGCAAACTAGCTTATAATCAGTTGCATTACTGTATTAGAGGAGGAAAAATATTAATTTGGGTTTATTTAGATTGCTTGAATCTCGTTTACAAATTGGTTATTGTTTCTGGGAAAATAAAAAGTAAATGTTTAGGTAAGGATAAATTAGTGAAGAGAAAGTTGTTCGTATTGTGGACTACAGGAAAAGGAGGACCGAGCACGCCCCCATTCTCATCGACGGGGCTGTAGTGGAGCAGATTGAGAGCTTCAAGTTCCTTGGTGTCCACATCACCAACAAACGATCATGGTCCAAACACACCAAGACAGTCGTGAAGAGGGCACGACAAAGCCTATTCCCCCTCAGGAGATTGAAAAGATTTGGCATGGATCCTCAGATCCTCAAAAAGTTATACAGCTGCACCATCGAGAGCATCCTGACTGGTTGCATCACTGCCTGGTATGGCAACTGCTCGGCCTCCGACCGCAAGGCACTACAGAGGGTAGTGCGTACGGCCCAGTACATCACTGGGGCCAAGCTTCCTGCCATCCAGGACCTCTATACCAGGCGGTGTCAAGGCCCTAAAAATTGCCAAAGACTCCAGCCACCCTAGTCATAGACTGTTCTCTCTGCTACCGCACGGCAAGCGGTCCCGGAGCGCCAAGTCTAAGTCCAAGAGGCTTCTTAATAGCTTCTACCCCCAATTACCTCGACTAACCGGTGCCCACGCACATTGACTCTGTACCGATACCCCCTGTACATAGCCTCGCTACTGTTATTTTACTGCTGCTCTTTAATTATTAGTTATTTTTCTATTTTTCTTCTTACTTATCAATTTTTTACTTAACACTTATTTTTTTTAAACTGCATTGTTGGTTACGGGCTTGTAAGTATGCATTTCACTGTAATGTCTACACCTGTTGTATTCGGCGCATTTGACAAATACAATTTGATTTGAAAACTTTTGTCCTCCATGGTACACCGTAGCTTGACCTATAAACCTTACGTCAGCGGAAGTACCGCCCTCTTCATCCCCTCTCTTGCAGGCTGTGTAAGTTGTATGTTTCCCATACATTCAATATGACATTTAAAATCATTGTCCATCCTTCTTATAAATGCAAAATATGCCCCCCAAATTATTAAAGAAAGATCTTACAAAGATGTATCCACATAATAAGCATAGTATTAGTTTTGCATTGTTTTTTCTACTGAAATTATCTGCATTCTGACTCTCGTCTTTCTAACGTCTTCCAGGCTTCAGTCCACTGACACGGCAAGATGGTGAGGACCGTTTTCATTGCATTTTAATTACATGGCTAGCTGTTCATGGCCGACTGTTGTTCAAAAGCGTAGCGTTAGATATTTCGTTGAGACGTCGGTGTCTGTTTGCCTGGTTGTTACCTGTGTAACTAGTTCACCAGCATTGTCTAGCAGATTAGGCTACTAGTTAGCTAGTAAAGGCCAATTTCGGTGTCGCGTATTAAATAATGCCGAGGTTGGTTACCGACAGTACACGAGTTACTAGCTAACTTAAACTGATAGTGTAGTAGTTTCGTTAGTAACTGAAATGTCAACGAGTCGAGTGGTGATAGTTACAGTGAAAGGCAGCCCCGAATGTCGTCATGGGTTCTAACGAACTAACTAGTGAACGTTAACATAGCTAGCCATGTTAACCTGGCTAGCCAGCATGTCTTAGCAAGTTGTCCAAACATTACAGGCTGTCTCGTGCTTGTGATGCATTTACACGCTTGCCAGAATAAGGATGGACCTAGTGCTAAGTTTCGATATAACCAGAATCTTTAGTTCCACCGGTCCACTGACAATCCTCAGATTATTTTAATTTAGCTATGTAGTTATTCTTCTCTATTGGCTAGATGGCGACGAGGCTATGATGTCATGCCGTGTTAGTTATGGTATTTGCATTGAGTTAACCCCTGTGGTTGTTGCAGAACATTGTACTTATTATTTCACTGTTGTATTTCAGCCACGCAAAATTGAAGAAATAAAAGATTTCCTGCTTACAGCAAGGAGGAAGGATGCCAAGTGTATGTATTACATTGTTGCACACAAGCTCTGCTCTTCTGACACCTTTTCTGACAATTGACTTCAGTATTGTGCACAAGTCTGTACACTCAGTATGTGGAGTTTAACGCTTATGTCTATCATATCTGTATCCACATAGGATTTTGTCTGGAAACTCCCAACTGCGATCCAGTGTTGAATGTTTAGGTTACTTTATTGTTTATTGTCCCACAGCTGTAAAGATCAAGAAGAACAAGGACAATGTCAAGTTCAAGGTGCGTTGCAGCCGATACCTGTACACCCTCGTCATCACAGACAAGGAGAAGGCCGAGAAGCTGAAGCAGTCCCTGCCCCCTGGTAAGATGCGCGACTTTCATCACATGGAATGTGGCATGTTGTATTGGGTTGGTAGTTGGCACAAGGAGTCTGAAATCGGTTTTATAGGACCATCTCTCCAGACCTTTAATCCTGAAGTCTGGTGACAATGTTCAGTCTATAAAGATGTCGTTGTATTGTCAGTGCAGAGTGGTTACAAATTGAACGTGAAGAAGCAATCTGATCTATTGCTATGCAAGTTGTCCAAACACTACATGTTTCTTGGTGCTTGTGGTGTATTTGCACGCTTGCTAGAGTAAGGATAGACCTAAATGCTTAGTTTCAACTTCATCAGAAATTGAGGTCCACCGGTGCATGGACATAAATTCATATGCCTAAGTGTTTTGAGCTGTCTGGGAATATTGGTGGGCAAAACTAGAAAATTGATTAAAAATAAATAAAAATCTGATTACAAAAACACTGCTTCCATTGCCTCTGATTTAAGTGGAACTGACAGCGTTTTAACTACTTTGCAGATATGAAACAAACAGACAATCATCAGTTTAAAATTATAAAATTCCCAGTTTATGCTACAAAACTAACTTTTCAAATTGTATTTGTCGCATGCGCCGAATACAACAGGTGTAGACCTTACAGTGAAATGCTTACTTAACCAACAATGCAGTTTTAAGAGAGAATACAATATGAAATAATTTAAAATAAAAGTAACAAGTAAAGTAGTGTCATTCCGTGACGCACATTAAGGAATTGTTGGCAGAATAGGTAGATGCAGTTCAATGCATGATGAATATAATTCACCAATACATTTCTTGGTAGTCCAAAATGTATTGCTATCAGGTTGTCACAGCAAGCCTGGTACATTGTTTGCTGCCTCCATTTGGGATGCACTGTTTCAAGACTCAATATTCTGGACAAAAAAATGACAAATCTAACTAAGACTGGGAATATCAATACAATCAAACTAGCAAGGGCAACAATCACAAGTCAGTCATAACTTGGTTAATAGGCTAGCGTATCTGTTTATGTAGCAAGCTAAAAACCGAGCCTAATGTTAGCTACATAGCTAGCTGCTAGGAGGATGTCATGGCATTGGAGGAGGGGTTGAGTGACTAACTTTTCCCTCATTGTTTTTCGGTGGCTATACACAGCGAGATGCAGGTGTCATTTGGTTAGCTGGCATGAACTTGAACGACTGTTAAACAGTATATCTCTTGCGTTTGCGAATTAACTCTTGCTATCTACTCCGATTTAGTGCAGAATAACTGATGAATTTACGAATGCTCAACATCTGCTGAATATGACCGTTGTCAGTCAAAGTAGGAAAAAAGAATAGTCACGAATGCTCTAGATAACATGTAAACTGCCTAACCAGCTCTGCTAGGGTGAGTAAAATGGTCAGTGAGGTGTTCTCTCAATTGTCTGGAAGTACAGTGGGGAAAAAAAGTATTTAGTCAGCCACCAATTGTGCAAGTTCTCCCACTTAAAAAGATGAGAGGCCTGTAATTTTCATCATAGGTAAACGTCAACTATGACAGACAAATTGAGAATTTTTTTTCCAGAAAATCACATTGTAGGATTTTTAATGAATTTATTTGCAAATTATGGTGGAAAATAAGTATTTGGTCACCTACAAACAAGCAAGATTTCTGGCTCTCACAGACCTGTAACTTCTTCTTTAAGAGGCTCCTCTGTCCTCCACTCGTTACCTGTATTAATGGCACCTGTTTGAACTTGTTATCAGTATAAAAGACACCTATCCACAACCTCAAACAGTCACACTCCAAACTCCACTATGGCCAAGACCAAAGAGCTGTCAAAGGACTACTGTAGCTCTGATTGGCTATGGCGCACTGGTCTGCGTAGACTGGTTCTGGACCGATGTTTTTATTGGGTTTTATTTACTGCAGTGTCTATCAATTGTCAAAACACACGGCCGCTTTCCTAGTCTATTGCTATAGAATTTTCAAAAATGCCTTAGTATATGTAATTTCCAAACAGTTGAATAATTTATTAACATGACCATATTTAAGTAGTGGTCCTCTGTAGCTCAATTGGTAGAGCATGGCGTTTGTAACGCCAGAGTAGTGGGTTCGATCCCCGGGACCACCCATACGTAAAAATGTATGCACACATGACTGTAAGTCGCTTTGGATAAAAGCGTCTGCTAAATGGCTTATTATTATTAAGTAGTCGCTTGTCAGAATGTTTTTAAGTGTCGTTCTTCCTGTGGGTGTATATGAACAGATTTTAATACGTTTTCATGTTGCTAAAATGCTACAGTTCCTTTTTAAATAGAGATTTATACTCTTTCCTGAACCCCCAACTGTACATTTTAGTCAATTTAGCAGATGCTCTTATCCAGAGCAATTTACAGGAGCAGTTATGGTTAAGTGCCTTGCTCAAGGACACATCAACAGATTTTTCACCTAGTCAGCTCGGGGATTTGAACAAGTGACTTCTCACTAGGCTAGCTGCCGCCAGTAGCATTTATAATCATGTCAATCTATCAAGTTTGTAACTTGGTCACTCAAAGCATGTTTTGTGAATGAACATGACTCATGTAATGTAGTTTCTAACCAGCTCATCTCTTTTCAGGTCTGGCTGTGAAGGAGCTCAAGTAGAGGACTCTTCGTGTACAGTAAATTGTAATAAAAAGAGGAACCATTTGTCTTTGTCATGCCTGTTATGTTGCTCCACTACAGTAAATTATCTATATTCATGTGCAAAATACTTGTCTCTTTATTGGAAGAAGGCAATAGCGAATGTCTGCTGATTTGACTGGATTATTTCTAAGGGCTGGTTTCCCAGACATTAAACCTAGTCCCCAGATTTAGACGTCCTCCAGTGATTTAGAAGAATAATTTTAAAAAGTGTCCTGTTGAAGTGATATCCCAAGTAAAAAATACAGTAAAGTACACAATGGTAAAAAAAAGAAAATGTTTTGCACTAAAGTGTTCAGACAACTGCAAACTTTAAGGAGTAGGACGTTCAGAGTTGGTTTGATTGTAAGTCGTGATGTCATCGGCCTCCCCCTTGCTTGAGGAGCAATAGAGAACAGAAGAGGAAAGGCCCACCTACACTGGTGCTGTCATGACTTACCTGGACCACCTGTTGATGTGACAAGGAGACTGGAGTGACACGAGTGCTGTCGTTGAAGATTCTCCATTGAGGATGCTCTTAGTCAGGACTAGCCTTACTCATTGACTGGGAAACTGGCCCTAAACAAATCTGGCAAGTTCTGTTGAGTAGTCATAGCAGTTACTACACATGGGCCCAGTTCCAATACTCAAATGATGTAAGCACATCTGAATTGTTTGGGGTGGTGATTACTACAGTGGAAACATTGTTTGCACCTATTCAATCACTTATAGTGCTGCACTTACCTCATGGAATGGTGCATTTAAATACAACTACGCTCCTGGAAGGAACATGGTGAAGAACCTGCCATTGTTACTGATGCAGTCCTGTATTACTTTACCCACACTGGCATTTCATGGGTTTAGGACCAGAATGATGTAGATAGACTGTTATACCGATCATCTGATTGTTAGGGTAAGAAAAGTGAATGTCTACATGCTAATTGAAAGGTGAAGATGGGCAGGCTAAATTCCTTTGGCATAGTTAACTGAAGTCTGTGCCCTGTGTTAGGTGTTGTGAACATCTGTCCGATAAATTGGCTATGAACTCCAGCAGGCCTAAGGGCTGTGCCATGACACCATAGACATGTAGGAGTAAACTACTGAAGTTCTCAATGTCAGACTAGTGCCTAGTCAGAATTGGTCTCATGAGACTCATCCACTTTATAGACCATGTTCAGAAACGTAGGATATTCGCCTTTGGCACCGCATGCTCAAACGTTATTTAGTGTTTTGCTTTATTTGTTGGAATGACCAGAGCGTTGGCTACTGTCTACTACAAACTAGACAGACCACCTCACCACTGATGTGCTTGGATACATCAATGAATGCGTCCCAAATGGCACGCTAGTATCCCTATATAGTGAACTACTTTTGACCAGAGTTGTATGGGTCTTAAGTTAGTACATTTTAGTCATTTAGCAGACGCTCTTTTCCAGAGCGACTTACAGTTAGTGAGTGCATACATATATATGTTTTTTCATACTGGCCCCCCCGTGGGAATCAAACCCACAACCCTGGCGTTGCAAACGCCATGCTCTACCAACTGAGCTACATCCCTACACTGTATAAGGAAAAAGGTGCCATTTGTTATTTAGAATATTATCTGGTTCTGGATATAGTAAGTGCCGGAACTGAACAATGGATCCTACTTGTCAACACCGGGAAGTTGTCAAGCAGCTGGTTGCAGACTGGGAAAAAGACAGGCCAAATCCTTTAACTGCAATGTGTCACCACGATCATTTTCTGAGTTATTTCCATGGCGCTTTGGTGAACTTCTACACCTTTTCAGACCGCTTCTGCAAGTCAGTTTATTTTCACTAGATGGGGGTGTTGCAAAGGCAATGGGAGCTACCTAGCTATCATCGATGTATAGAATGTATGCTTTTGCGAACATTTTATTAAAATTATTTTATATTTGTCCTACACGGCGATTTTTTTTGCATAAACTTGAGTCCGTTTTCACGTGCAAAGCCATACTTTTTACAATTACACTTTTTTCATTACTATTCATGTTCCTGCCTTCAGGTTCTGCGCGCTCTCGCTTTGTGTCCAGTGTCCCTTATTCCTGCGCGTTCCCGTGTAGTGACGGCCCTTGTCTGGAGGGATCGCTCAAATGAATGACTGGACCAGCAGTTCGTAGTATGGCAGTGGCTGAAACTTGTCTTTTTCACGGATAATCTTGGGATGTTTTCCTTTAACGACCTCCCTGCATATTTTGTCTACTGTGCGTGTGAACGAGTTACCATTATCCAGCATGCTTTTTCATAATAGCTTATTGCTTTGTTACAGAAGACGGGACTGAGCTGTCGGTTTACTAAAGAATACTAGATCTTGGATAACTAAACAAGGGTCAGGATGTCTTCAGTACGGGAGGATTATAT